CAGGGTTCCTCTCCTGAAATACACTGTGTTCAGACATCCAGGAGCTGATGCAAATATGCTGATGCTCATGTTACATGCAGTGCTACGAAAAATGAAGTCCTTTGTCTCCGACTCAAGAAATCTCATGTCTTCTGCCTGTATTCACGAAACGGCATTAAGCAAGTTGTTAGTTTGCAACTAGGGTAAGATCTCAGTTCTTGACAGCACCTACCATGTTTGTGCCATGATGAGAGTCATCACGTTTAATATAGCGTGCCACATCACACATTTTTAACTTACATTATTTCAACTAAATGTATAAGGTCAATAAACAAATAGAGAAAATGTAAATATTGTTCTGCCTTCCTTTATTCTAAGTAAGTGCATGTGTTGGAGTAAGATGTGGTAAAGAGTTGAATCTGCTATATTCTTAGTGGATCTTAGTTTTCATGTGGGATTTCATGACACGGTCATTAGCCATACTGAGTATGGTTCCAAAGTTCAAAGATGCATATTTTTTTTCATGTAACATGGCTTTTAAATCTAAACCACCCACTTCTTCTGGTAGTCAGCCAAGAGAGGGCTATCAGATTAAACACCAAAGGAAAACTAGGAGGCAATAAATCAGTCTGCAGGGCCAGGCTCTTCTGAGAAATGTTTAAGAACACTTTTCACCTTATGTGATTTTTGTTGTTGTTATGGGTCAAATCTTAGAAGGTCACACCCAGAGGATTATCATGGGAAAGGGGGCCGTCAGAATAAGGTACATGGCTGTGGGGAAGGGCTATTAAAAAAAAAAAAAGTTTTTATTGATTTCAGAGAGGAAGGGAGAGGGAGAGAGATAGAAACATCAATGATGAGAGAGAATCATTGATCAGCTAACTCCTACACCCCTCACACTGGGAATGGAGCCCACAACCCTGGCATGTGCCCTGACCGGAAATTGAACTATGACCTCCTGGTTCATAGGTTGAAAATCACTGAGCCATGCCAGCCAGGCGAGAGGGACTATTATATTTTAATGGTCACAAAATTTCTTTTATAATGGAATATAGCATGTAGGCATCCTTACATTTATACATCACTTCTAAAGGATTTGAATCTAGTCATTTTTCATATCCAGAGACTAAAGACTCACATGAATTTGATTTTGACTTCTTGGTCAGCCTGCTAAATTTTGAAGTATAGTAATGACCTTTTCTTTTTTATTAAACCCGTATTTTTAAAAGTATTTGCTTCTACTTAATTGAATTATGTATTAAAGTCAATCAACTACACCTAAAAATACTTTTGTTTTTAAAAATTAGATAGCACATGCACATAGTAATAAATTTCAGAGTACAAACTGTATCTTTTATATTACTGTAAAATTGGAACACTGATATTTTAATATCTGGCTCTGGATTGGTGGCAAGTCCAAAACCACTATACAAAAAGGGGTAAGTGTAGAGAGAAATAGAGAAAAACAGTCTACAATCCAACAAATGCCTCTGAACCAAAATTTTAAAATATATGAGGAAGATTAACAAAATAATTAAGCCTATAAAACTAATAAGGAGATCAATTAATTCAGCTTAAATAAACACAATAGAGAGATTTGAAAATGACTTAAATGTTTAAGCTCTGGAAAAAGATAAAGAATAGAATAACAAAAGAACTTATAAAGTATCAACAAGTAGAAATGAAACAAGAACAGGTGGATATGGCAAAGTATCAGTACCTGGAGTGATCTCGTGATCTCCCTCGGGAATGGATGACTCCTCATATATTTGCTGCATCTTCCAGCTGACTTCCAGCTGGAACAGGTCATTGCTGTTCTCCAATCTAGGACTGGGAAGTCAAGGTATATGTGAACATGGTGAGGGCAGTTTTAGACCCTCTCCAACTAGAGCTACCCACCATGCCATCCAGAACCCCTGCCATGTGGTCTCTCTCCATTTGTGTTTTCCTTAAAAAACAATGGGGCAGAGCAGATCAGTGAGCCTGCTGCACAAACATATATGGGGGGCGTTGGAGTGGAATACAGGGGAGTTGCCATCTCTTCTTCTGCAGGCACACCCAAAGTTCACTAGTGATTCTCATGAAAAAAGGGGAAAGGATGGGTCTTTATAGAACACTAATTTTCCCTAAAAGCTGACTGCCCTCCCATCTCCCATTCTTTCCATGTAGTGGTGATGGTTTGCCTTTGGGGAGAGAGGTGGAAATGGGGAATAGGTAGGGAGGAGGGGTTGCTGGAAGAGCTGGTAGAACAATAATGGCTCTTCGAATGCCCTGATGTAATAGAGCTGGTTCCAACCACTGGCAATTCTTTAAATTCAGAACGAGGCTCCTATGGACTTTTTAAATTTTATTTTAAATCAGATTTGGGCCTCATCAGCAGTTTCAAGACAACAGGAAAAAACCCTCTCAATGTTCAGTCACACAAACATATGTCTATTTCCCCTTCCTTTCAATTTAACTAATGTTGGCATACTATTGAGTTTTCAGCATCTTGTATTTTTTACTTGAAACATTTCTTAGATATTATTCATATCAAGACATATATATGTACATCATTTCTTTTAATTGCTGCACTGCATATATTCCACAATGCGTGTGTACTAAAATTTATTATAATAGCTTTTTAGTAATAGTTTGTCTCTAGGATTTTCCTATTATAAGCAGTGCTGCATTGACTATTTTGTGTATACATCTCTTCATATGAACAGCATTTTAAAAAAGTTAACTAGAGCCCTGACCAGTTGGCTCAGTGGATAGAGCACTGACCTGTGGATTGAAGGGTCCCAGATTCGATTCTGGTCAAGGGCATGTACCTTGGTTGAGGGCACATCCCCAGTAGGAGGTGTGCAGGAGGCAGCTGATCGATGTTTCTAACTCTCTATTCCTCTCCCTTCCTCTCTCTAAAAAAAAAAAATTAACTAGAAATCCTGACAGATGTTTGACATCCAATGGATAGTCCTTCTTTAGGATGCAATGAGTCACACAGCCTCTCCTGACTTTGAAAATCCTGTGACTTATCACAAGAATTGATAATTTCTTCCTTAATTGCATTGCTTAGCATGTGACAGGTATTCTGCATTCACAAGGGTTTATCTTTAATGCTGCATAAAATTGTAATGTCTTTGACATAGACTTAAGCAGCAATTAGGAATCCACATTTAAACTGCTACAAGTGCATATAAGGGATGAAGTATGGAGTGGTGTTTAGGAATGAGAGCTCTGAAGTGACATACGCTTGAGTTCAAGTCCCAGCACTACCAATTTTTCCTATATGACTTTAGACCTATATAACATTGTTTTCTCATTCATAAAATAAGTGAATACAGCTCCAATTTCATGGGGTTGTTGTAGGGATTAAATAAGGAAATATGCATGATTCTCAGGACATTTTCTGGAACATAATAAGTTACCTGGCACTTAAGTTCCATAAGCATTAGCTATGCATTAAGGTTTCAATTCAGGTGACAACTGGATATACAGTAATTTCCTAGTCAGGCCTAGGTCAATCAATGCACAAGTAAAGACAATTGGTTCACAGCTTCTCTTTATCTGGCACAGGCACATTTCCTGACTTCAGAGATGTTCAACTGTGACCACAAATGATTTATTAGAACTAAAGAACACAGCAATAGACTTCTATGGCTGGAAGGGATATCAATATTACTTTTTATTAGATTATCTTGTTAATAACCATTCCCATATATTAAATTTTTGTAGGCCAAACATTTTGCATATATTACCTCATTTAATTTTACAAGGGCCCTTATGAGATAGTTATCATCACCCTTATTTTGCAGAAGAGACTGAGGATCTGAGAAATCAAATGATACACCCAATGGCATCATATCATTAGTAAATTGCAGAACAAGGATTTGCACCCAGGTCCTTCTGAAAATAAGATCTGTAACTTGCCATACAGTTTTCCAATGAAATCTCACTTATCCATGACAGAACCAGCTTATGAAAAATTTGAATGCCAAGAGGGAGCTTGAACTCCATTTTGGGGGACTGAGGCAGAGTGGTCTTACCTGTTAGGCAGAGTGCCCAGGGCTCATAATACTTTTAGGGGCCCACACTAATATTTTAAGTTCTTTTAAAATCAGAAAGAAAAGCAAACTTTTAGGCCAAAGAAAATGTTTTGCTATGTAACATTAATACATTAATCTCTATACCAATGAGGTTGTCAAATATTAACTATATATATAGGTCCACAAGCACAAGGCAAAAGGGCCTACAAAAGTCATAATGCGGCCTTGTTCTAGGTTGTGCTACACTTTCTGGGAAGGTGATAATAGCAGACCAAATTGAAATGAGACGTGATGTACAAATTGAGAAAAATGTGGTCACAATTTCTCTTCTCCTGTCAAAGGCACTTTCAAAGGTTAAAAGAGACAAGAGAAACATAGGGTGGAAAGTGCCACTTCCTAGCTGCATGATCTTGGGCAAGTGACTTGATCAATCTGAGCCTCAGTTTCGTCATCGATAAAGTGGGGATATGTACCTCCGGGGATTGCCGGCCAGGGACCTTATGTACAGTGTTCAATAAATACACGTTGAATGAATGAATGCAGTAACTGTGCGCTTAGTGTCCAGTAAGTGGTAGTTGCTGGCATTAAAAATAGTCAAAAGTCCTCAAAATGACAACCCAAGCGTGTTAGCCCCAGACGTACCTCAACTTCTACACAGAACTGCTCAGTAAACTGCGCTTGCGCATAAGCACTTTCCCGCCCCTCAAGCGTGAGGGTCAGTGGGCGGGCGTTCGCGGCAGCGTGACAAATCAGGATGGGAGGACTGAGGAAGGGGCGTGGCTTATCCGGCTGGGCCTGGCCGCTCTCTTCCGGGCTCCGCCAGCTGCGCGCGCATCCCTCTCCCCCTTCTTTTGTGGTCCGGCCCATTGCGAGGGTGACAGGAAACCCTGTGCAGGGAGCGCCGCCATCTTGGACCTGCCCGTGGAAGATCCTGAGGGATCCCCAGGAGCAGTCGCTGCTGCCACCGCTACTGCCGCTAGCGCGTCTGCACCTCCTCGTCCAACCCGCTACCTGCCGGGGCCTGGGCCGACTGCCCCCGCCCCTTTTCGGCTGCGCCCGCACTCTTCTTCCTCGCCCTGACGCCCCCCCTCCCGCCCGGAAAGCTGCCCAGCCACCAGCAACCCCCCAGGTAACCCAGGCCTTCCGCAGTGTCCGTCCGGCCGAGGCCTCTTCGTCTGGTTCGGCGGAGGCCAAGAGTGGGGACGACGGCGAGCCGCTGCCGCGGGCGGGCGGGGCCGCGGGACAGGCCCGATCAGGCCGCAGCGAACCCGGGGTCGCGGTGGGCGCCGTGGGGCCCTGCCTGCCGGGACTCCCATGCGGGGGCGAATGTGCCCCTGCACTGCGCCCGCCGAAGCCTGCTGTCCTCCCCGCCCAGTGGAGAGGCGTGTGGGGAAGGGTGTGTTCGGCCTCGCCTTCCCCGCCTCCTCGGCCGCACTGGGCAGACTGGCCTCTCCGCAGGCCCTTCTCCCCGCGCTGCCGTTCCCGGCGGCCGAGGACCACCTCCGCGGCGTTTCTCCGCGCGAGCCGCGCCTTGCAGCCCACGAGCCCCAGACGTGGCAGTGCCCGTCCCATAGGCCGCGTCTGGCCCCGAGTACAAAAGGCAGCACGCCGCCGGCATCTTGGACCGTCGCCGGTGTCCTTGTCGATGTGGGTGGACTGTCCGGACTCGGGCCGGGGAAGAGGGTCTGCGGGTCTGCGCTTGGGAGGTTCCGATTTGAGCGAGTCCCTGTAAGGCCCATGACATCCTGTAAGGCCCCGAGCCCAGATGGGATTCGGAAATGACGAAGAAGACCAAAAGTTTTGGCATTTTTTTTTTTAGGATTGAAAAGAAGGAACGGGTGTTGTTTGGATCGCTTGCACTTGACTGTGTGCCAGGCACAGATTTGGGCGTCTTCACACTTCACGTAGCTGTTGGTGATACATCCAGTTATCCTTATTTTACAAGTGAGGAAACTGAGGCTTGAAGTTGTGCCTGGGCTGGTTAATGGTGTTGTCTGCAAACTGGCTTCTCCCTAACGCTGGGGCTGGAGCTTACTGCATTCAAGTTAGGCCAGGGTTACAGACCTGACCATTTTTAAGGTAGCATTGGATGACAGTGGATTGCTCCTTTGTAACCCAAAGTCTTGTGTCAGCTACTACACTGCCAGTCCTTATTCTCACAATTCCAGGGGAGAGATGGCAAGATTTCCATGTTATATTTGAAGGAAAAAATGGGGTTCTCCAGAGAGCAAGTGCTTACCCCACAGCGGGTGTCGGAGCCCAGATTCTAACTCTTGAAATTTGTTGGCTCATTTCAATACTATCATAACTTCCTTTTATTTAGATGTGGTTATTAAGGACAAACTTAACCTTGCACTAACTCAGCTCCCACTCCCCATTTCCCTAAGACTTTCTAAAAATTTTTCCTCCAGATTTCTGCTTAGGCATTGTTACTGGTCATGCCTTGATGCTTGTCATGTGTAATGTACTTTAACTTCCTGGTTAGTGACCATAAGCAAGTTATTTAACTTCTCAGACTCGGTGTCCTTATCTATTTCAGGGGATAATAGTACCTATATTTTTTAGTTGCTGTGAGGATTAAATGTGATTAAAAACCCTTAGCTCGTTGCTTGGCATACAGTTAGTGTCCCATTGCCAGGCTTGTGCTGAGTGTTGAATGTTTGTTGACTAAATGAGAGGAGCATGACTTTGGAGAGCTAGCTGTAGATTTTAACCTGGGCCTTAAGCTTAGCTTTGCGCTTAGTAATATATGATCACGGATGCATCACTTCTCTAAGCTAGTTTCCTTATCTGTAAAATGAGTTTTTAGGATTAGAGATTACTTATACAGTAGCTGGCATATATTAGGCACTCAGTAAATGGCAGTTATTTAAAAGATGTAAAACTTTAGATTCTAAAAGTCTAAAAATTTATCAGAATTAAAGCTACATTTTAAAAAGTTTTTGCTCTTTATATTTTATGTTAAACTTTATGGTTGTGTGCGTCAATCATGCAGCAGAACTTGGGGTGCTTTTACAACTGGCTTTTATCAGTATTAAATATCTTTCCATAATCTTAGTAAGGTGTTGTACTTGGAGGAAACATTTGGTTAAAGCAAAGAGAATATGTTGAAATAAGGGCTATTGGGAGATGCTTGATTTTTTTTAAAAAGGCTTGAAACATTTGTATGTGATTAAATGCCCATTATGGCTGGAGACAGCAATGTACAAGTAGAGGTATCAAAGATGATATACTTTTTAAATACTTTTATTCTAGACTGTTTTAAACATGTAGACTAGAGAGTAGTATGTTAAACCTTCATATACCTGTCAGTCAGTGTTATCAATGATCAGCAATTTTGTTTCACGGGTTCCCTCACCTGTACCCTCTCCACCAAGTTATTTTGAAGCAAATCTTAGACATCATATTTCACCAGTAAAATTTTCATTATTACTAATCCTCTTAACTGTAGTAGTAAGGGCAGGGTTTTTGTTTTTCTGCTAAGGACTTCTGTGAACTGAGGTGCAGTATTGGAGGACTTTATTTCCTATTCATAGCATACCCTCAGTTACCTGAAAGATTCTTGCTATTAACACATGAAGGAAATTCAGGTTTTTTCTTATTCACATTATTGATTTGTATAAAAGTGTGTTAGCTTGTCAAAAGTGAGGTTTTGTGGTTTTTTGTTTGTTGTTGGGTTTTTTAAGGTGAATTTCAGAGATTGTTTTATGGTTGAGGAAAGGAAATTGACCATTCATTTTGATTAGATTAGAGTATTAGAGTGACTCCTGAAAATTTGTGTTCACTTCTGACAGATCAAGTAGTAATTCACTTTACTGGGCCTCTAAGCAAATCCAAATGCTTCTGTTCTTGAGTTCCATGAAGGCAGGGACAATGTTGTTGTTTTTTTGTTTTGTTTTTTAAGCTTTACTATATTGTCAGTTCTAACATAAGGCTTTGTACTTAGTAGGTGCTTAACAAAGGTTTTTATATTAGAATCACAAAAGCAGTCTCTGGTGTTTTTAATAAGATACCTTGCACGTAAAAAAATGTCTCAACAGTGAGGATTAGAATTTAAATAACCTAAAATGTTTAGTGGGTTGCTTTTCTCCTGTGTTGTCTTTGAGTCAGTTATGTAAAAATTACACAATAACATCATATATTCTAAGGAGTTTAATAAAATAGCTATATAACAGTTGTGAAAGGACTAGTCAGACAGTGCATAAATTAAAACAGTAAGGGGCCAAACTATAAAAACAAGAACTGGATCATTGGGATGTTTTTTGTTTATTTTTTTAGATTGATCATATGATTGACTTCCTATGTTCCCCATATTATTGGTAAATGTGGAAGTACTGTTGGAAATATTACAAAAAGGAGTTCTTTTTTAGTTTATTTTTTAACTTGTTTTATATCAGAATTGTATATAAAATGCTTGAAAAAATATTTAACAGTCTTTATTTTTTTTCTCTACTTTGAATATTTTAAAATATTAGTACATGCTCATTATACTGTCAGTGCAGAGATGGATAAAGAAAGTTAATAATTTCTCTCTTCCCTTTTTCTATTCTCAGCCTGTGTGTTCATTTTTTACAATTTGATGTGTATTCTTCCATATTATGTGCATATAGGATTTGAAGGATGTATGTTTGTTTGTTTAAAATAGACTATGTTATTACACTAGGCTTTTTATTTTTTTTAATCCACTTAAAATCATGGCTATTATTTCCAGGTTAATACATATATTTCTAAATGGTTTTTAAACTAGATGTATATTGTTTCATAGTGCAGCAGTACTTTATTTAGTCATTTCCCTGTTGGTAGTTTAGATTGTTTTCAGATGTGTGTTTTTTGTTTTGTTTGTTTGTTTGTGTTTGTGTGTTTTTTGCTGTAAAAATGCTGCATTAAATGCATTAGAACCTGTAACCTTGTGGACTTTTATTTCTGTAGACTAATTTTGAGTTTCTTGGCCAATTTTTTTGGATTTGGATTTTTTTGAGGGTCTTTTTTTTTTCTTTTTTAAGATTTAAAAATACATGCTGATTACTTCCCAAAAATATTGTGGCAGTTCAGACTTCCACAAGCAAGTCTGAACTTCACATCTCTACCTGCACATTTCAAAACTGGTCATTTATATGTCTGTATAACTTTATTTGAAAAGATGTCTCATTCAGTATATGGAAACCATGCAATTTTACTTTTGTCACAATTATGATTATGTTTAATGTCCATTTAATAACCATTTAGATCTATATGTATTGGCCTGAGAAAACATCCATAATTTATTTTTAAGTGAAAAACATGTTGAAGCATTTTATGCAATAGCAAACTCCATTTAAAAAATGTGCTTCTCACCTTAACAGTGGCCTGTTTCACGTTAAAGAGATGAGGTTGCAAAATCCTATTAAAGCAATATGAAGCATAGTTAATATTTAAAACAGGCCACACAATAATTATTATGCATTTAGTAAACACTTCTCTTGATAACCAGGAAGTTTTGAGCTAAATTTTAAATGCACTGATTGTAAAACTATAATACCTTCATTTCTTGGTACAATTATCCTCCATCTTTCTCTAATTTTGAGTTTTTGCTTTTCTTTTATCAGTCTACATATTTATGTGCCTTTAATAAGCTACCTTAAAGAAAATTGGGTTCTTTGAAATTAGGTCTAAAATCATTTTTCAGCTCTACCATTTACTAACTTTGTAACACTGGCCAAATGTGAATTTCTTCAAATTTCTGTTTATTCAGTTTTAATAGACATGATAATGATTTTGCAGAGTTGTGAGAATTAACTAAGAATTATATAAGATAATCAATATAAGGAAAATGCAGATCATCATATGGTTTACTCTCAACAAATATTTCCATTCAGAAACTTTTAAAAATAAGTATATGAATTATTATTACTAGTAGTATCATTTATCCATATCTATAAATCCTAATTACAGTGCATCCTCTGAGTATAGTCATTTAATACTGCTTATTCAGAATGTTAAATTAAAACCAAATAAGTGGACTGAAAAAGATTTGTCCCAGTGTACCACTGTAAGCGTTCATAGATGTATTCAACAGGTATAACTCATAATTGTGGAGGAGGGATGATGGTGTTGTGGTTTAACACAAAAGCCAAAACAGTCTATCTTTAA